AAGCCCTCCCGAGGGCCACGAGTGATCACATCTTCAGGAGATGGACAGCCCGTTCTGAAGTCGTCCACTCCCTCCTTCACAAATACCCACCGCCGGCTGTCCATGGAGGTGGGGCACTTCCCAAGCTTGTTGTTCTGACTGGAGAGATAGCGGGAAGGCAACCTGTCCCTTTCCTTGAACCAGGGCTTACATTTCATGCCCAGGGGCAAGGGTTCCAGCCTCCGTGGCCCTAGCAGCCACTTCTTGTTGAGCTCTGGCTTCTTGTCCACCTTCGGCCCTGACTTCCAAGGCTTGATCAGCCCCGACTCTATGAGCGCCTTCTTCCTCAGGTCCGACTTTAACAGCCACCCCTTGTGGGGCTCCGGTAAGGGCCACTGCTGGCCCGCCATGGCGCCCTTGGAGGGCGCCCACAGGGGCCTCAGGGGTTTGTTGTCCCAGCCGCCCAGTTGCTAGGAGACCATTGCCAGGTGCGGACGCATTCTTATTCTTTCCTGAGGCGGGTCAACATGCGCCCAGGCACAGCCTGCATTGTCCCGGGATGGCCCGCAAGGTTGCATTCTTGCTTGTGGTAGAGAACTGTCCCCGTGTAAGGGCACACCACAGGTCAGCTGCCCATTCATCTTTTGATGGCCTTTTGGATTGATTCCTGTTTCAGGCTGTTTGGAAATCAAGGGACCACAAATATTTCACGTGTTCACATCTTCATAGAAGTACTTTCATTTCTCCTGGATAAATTATAGGTAGCAATTGATAGGCGGGGGCTTCTGAGAGCCGTGTTTTTTCTTATGTACTCACAGCCCTCAGGTTTTTATATTTGCCCAAATATGGGTGAGGTGAGTGAGGCATTGGGTATACAACTTAACGTGGCACCCAAAAAACACCTCAGAAATCAAGATCAATTACCTTTTAAGGTAACATTTTCAATATTAATCTGAAAAACAGTGCCATATTAAAGCCATATTAGAGGGCAAAGATAGATCAGTACCCTACTATTGATCCTCTCTTTATTTAAAACCCATGTGTTGTTCAACATCCATTTTCTTTTTACAAATAGTATTTGCCTATTTTGGATACTGTTGTGTTGCTTGGAAACAGTTTGATTCTTTGGGATCCTTTTAAAGATTTGATTGAAATAAGCAGAGCAGTTCCCTGTGATAATACGTGCCTAATTAATGTTATACCATGTGGTATGGTTACCTGTTCCTCACTACTGCAGCAAGACCCTTCCACTTAAATTATTCAATGCCTGTGCATCTAGAGCAGTGGTTCTCAACCTTGGCTGCACATTAGAATCACCTTGGAATCTTTTTAAAATCCTGATTATAGGGCCTCATACTCCAGAAATTATGTTTCTTTGTTATGGGCTGGGCCCACAACATTAGTAACAAAGAAACAGAATTTTCGGAGGATGAGGCCCAGAAATCAGGATTTTAAAAAGATTCCCAGGTGATTCTAATGTGCAGCTACTGTTGAGAACCACTGCTCTATGAGGTTTTCTAGTCTGGCTGACAGTAAAGATCGCTATTGCAGGCCCTGTGTGAGTATCAGTTACCAAGAATCCTTCCCAGTGGTTTCTTTCCTGGCTTCTTTTTTAAAAAATATATTTTATTGATTTTTTTACAGAGAAGAAGGGAGAGGGATAGAGAGTTAGAAACATCAATGAGAGAGAAACATCGATTAGCTGCCTCCTGCACACCCTGCACTGGGGTGCCCGCAACGAGGGATAGAGAGTTAGAAACATCAATGAGAGAGAAACATCGATTAGCTGCCTCCTGCACACCCTGCACTGGGGATGTGCCCGCAACCAAGGTACATGCCCTTGACCAGAATCAAACCTGGGACTCTTCAGTCTGCAGGCCGATGCTCTATCCACTGATCCAAACCGGTTAGGGCTTTCCTGGCTTCTAATAATGTATTCACACATGAGCTGATCAGTAATCAGCTGAATCATTCATGTGGGGTGCAAGATTCTGGAGTTCCCTCTCTTTCTCTCGTTTTCCTCTCTGGTTGTCTGCCTTGAGAACTCTACCCACCTTGTTCTCTACAGTGTCTTAGCTCCGTCTCCTCTACATACTAGTAGCAAGACTGCTGGTCTTTGCCTGGGTTCCACCTCTCTGAGCTGTGGCCTAGAAACTCAAGGAATGTGGAGCCATCATAAGACTCACCTCATTTATTTACTATCTGTGAGGGATCAGTCTCTGCTTCCTGATGTCCAGTGTCTTTCAAAATTTTATCTTATTTTCTTCCCTTTTTTTCAGGTGCTCCAGGGCATATATCTGATCCCTGTTACTCTACTTTGGCCAGAACAGAAAATATAATTTACTTTTTTTGTTTTGTCTCCATTAATTGGTGAGTCTTCTAAGCCATCAAATACCTCATTAAATTCTTGCTGTTCTCCATGATTAGAAATTGTAGATCACACCTACATTATTAAAATGCCTCTCTTACAATCCTAACCAATCTATTTTTCTTTTTTCCCTAATACTCAGGCTATTCATCTACTCTAAAATCCATAAAATAAATACTAAACTCCTTAGTATATAACATTAAGTGTTTTACAATTTCAATGCATCGTGGCTTTTTTTTTTGTCAAAGCCAATAATACTCTAAGACATAAATTACAGATTAGATGTAATTCTTCAACCATGGCAGCAACTTGAATCTTTTCTTAAGATACATTTTTTCATTCATTCAGTTATTCAGCACACATTTATTCAGTATCCGTTTTGTATGAGGTAGTGTGCCAGATTCTCAAACAATTGCAATTAAATATACAAACACTATATTTTCCCTATAATAAAATTCCCATCAATCTTTGCCATATGAATTATTTCAAAGGTTTTCCTCAGTCTTCACCCTTGAAGTACATTCTTTCTGAGTAAGTGTTGAGTGAGAAGGCTGAGATTGCAAATCAATGAAATAGAATTAAATATATTAATACAGTTAAGATGACTTAAGATTGTTGGTAGTAGTTAAAATATGAAGCAAAGGAATAAAATATCAGTGACCCTGATTCAATGGGAACTTGGTCTACGCTAGCAAACATTGTTTGTAAATTAGTATTATTACTATTATTATTCCTGCAGTATGAAGCACAGGGAGAATATCTCCATTTAAGCTCAAGAGCAAAGTGACATTTTCATAGGAAAAAAGACAATTAACCTAAAGGTAATGCCTGGTATATTCAAATGCCTTTGAAAGTTCACTATTGTTCCCCTTTGTCATATGACATATACTTTTTCCAAAGAGGATAGATGTACAACAGAAATTACATATACCCACTATTAAAGTTATCAAGTGAAATGTAATGAATGAGCATCAGGTGTTCCAAGTTATGTTTCCAGAGCTCTCTTCCCTCTTAAATACAAGAGATTACATTAATCTATTCAAATCAGCATCTTCCAAGGATCCATCCTACTCTGGCTATGACAGGTATTCCAGGGCATAAATCTGATCCCTGGAATACCAGCCATAACATTAGGAATTATGGCTATTGAAAATGGGCCTGCTGCAGTTTTTTAACATCTCCCAAAGCAAATATTCCTGAAGACTGATCATTGATGTAGAATGCTTATCTTTCTCAGTTGTTCCATTTTTTGCTTCTTAAAGCAATACAGAGCATGTGAAGATTGTGTCTTGAAAGTAGTTGTTACCATAACTTTGATCATTTATAATAAGCACATTTAAAACATTTCTGATACCATGTAATGTAGCAAACTTTTTCAACATCAAATTATTCCACTACATTTCCCTTTATGTTTTCACTTCTAAAAAATCAAAATGACATTGTTTCTGGATCTATTTTGTTCATCAGTTTATTGTCTTCATAAGATTCCAGATATGAATGAGATCATGTGATACTTATCTTTCTCTGACTGGCTAATTTCACTTACCAGTTCCATCCATGCTGCTGCAAATGGTAAGAACTCTTTTTTTACTGCAGCATAGTATTCCATTGTGTAGATGTACCACAGTTTTTTAATCAACTCACCTGCTTATGGACAGTTAGGATGTTTCTAAATCATAGTTATGGTGAATTGTGCCACTATAAACATAGGGGTGCATATATCCTTTCTGATTGGTATTTCTAGTTTCTTGGGATATATTCCTAGAAGTGGGATCACTGGGTCAAATGGGAGTTCCATTTTTAGTTTTTTTGAGGAAACTACATACTGTTCTGCATAGTGGCTGCACCAGTCTGCATTCCCACCAGCAGTGCACAAGGGTTCCTATTTCTCTGCATCCTCGCCAGCACTTGTCATTTGTTGATTTGTTGATGATAGAAATTCTGACAGGTGTGAGATGGTACCACATGTCGTTTTGATTTGCATCTCTCAGATGATTAGTGACTTTGAGCATGTTTTCATATATCTCTTGGCCTTCTGTATGTCCTCTTTCGAAAAGTACCTATTTACTTCCCTTGCCCATTGTTTGATTGGGTTGTTTTTCTTACTTTTGTTAAGTTGTATGAGCTCCCTGTAAATGTTGGAGATTAAATCCTTATCTGTGATAACATTGGCAAATATGTTCTCCCATGCCATGGGCTTTCTTGTTGTTTTGTTGATGGTTTCTTTTGCTGTACAGAATGTTTTTTTTATTTTGAATTAGTCCCATTTGTTTATGTTCTCTTTAATTTCCATTGCCCTAGGAGCTGTAACAGTGAAGATATTGCTTCGGCAAAGGTCTGAGATATTGCTGCCTGTGGATTCCTCTAAGTTTTTTATGGTTTCCCATCTTATGTTTAAGTCCTTTATCCATTTTCAGTTTATTTTTGTGTATGGTGTAAGTTGGTGGTCTAGTTTCATTTTTTTTGCATGTATCTGTCCAATTTTCCCAACACTATTTTTTTGAATAGACTGTCTTGACTCCACTGAATGCTCTTGCCTCTTTTGTAAAATATTAATTGAGCTTAGTGTTTTGGGTTGATTTCTGGGTTCTTTATTCTATTCCATTGGATTATATGTATGTTTTTGTGCAAGTACCAGGCAGTTTTGAGAACAGTGGCTTTGTAATACAGCTTGATATCTGGTATTGAGACCCCTCCTACTTTGTTTTTCTTTCTCAGAATTGATGCAGCTATTCAGGGTCTTTTTTTTATTCCAGATGAATTTTTGGAGGGTTTGTTCTAGGTCTGTGAAATATGCTGTTGGTATTTTAATGGGGAGTACATTGAATCTATAGATTGCTTTGGGTAGTATAGACATTTTAATGATGTTGATTCTATCAATCCATGAACACGGTATGTTCTTCAATTTGTTTATGTCTTCCTCTGACTCCTTTTTCAATGCCCTGTAGTTTTCTGAGTACAGGTCTTTTACCTCCTTAGCTAAGTTTATTTCTCAGTATCTTAATTTTTTTGGTGCAAGGGTAAATGGGATTGATTTTTAAT